GCCATGTCATTCAGGGTCTCTAACCATCGGTTGCTATCATCTCGTGGATTCCAACCAGATAGTCTACAAATGCCAACATGACTCAGTCCACTTTTTAGTGACGTCATGGACTTGTGCCATGTTTTGGTCTGGCCGCCCCTAGCTTTCCTCCAACCTACACCTATACCGTTGAACATCGCACGTCGGGGCAGTCGGTGGTTCGGTATACGTAACACGTGTCCCAGCCATCTGAACTGATGAGGTTTCACTGTCATAAAGTAGAACGGAACGAACTGCTGCGCAGTAAACCCATCCTTTAGTTGATAGACGGATATCTCGCCTACACCACAAATGACGCAAGTTGGCAAAAGCTAGTCGAGCCTTCTGTATCCGTGCTGAGATTTCGTCACACACCAGACCATAAGGGCTGATGAGACATTAGGAGTTATTAAAATTTATTGATCAATGTTTGGAAAACAAGTTTAGAACTTGAATATCAGGCTTGATAAAGAAAAGTTCTAGTAACTGCTTATACAACTACCCAAATCTTACTTTTCAACCGAGTAATTCTTGCAGTAAAAATCTTCTTCATTGAAACCAACTTCTTTTGATCAAATCATGAGTATCAATTCCAATTAAAAATTCGAAATGCTTGCTATTATTATCAATATGAATTTTATTTTAGGACAATAAATAAAAACTCAGAAACAATACTAATTAGTGAGGTTTTATATATTAGGAATAATTGTATACATTGACTAATAGATTCGTTACGTTGCGTTGGTTACTGACATTATGTACAAAATGTTACTTAATCATGTATCTAGTTGACAGAAACATTAAATCAAACATACGAACTCTGGAATAACAAACGTTTGAAAAGAATAGTTTCATAATTTACTTGATACATAAATATATATGTATATATATATTAAGAGATTATACATGGTATACACGCATATTACTCATTTATTACTGTTTACAAAATTGTCACATCTGTTTAATATTCTCTAAGTTTATTAATTTTCATAACCTAATTGCCTAAATGAAGTTATTTATATTGAAAATTAAAGTTTGCCTAGATTTCTTTGAATATATCCATTTTTTTCGCATTTTGAAACAGCAAAAGTTTTATCTTAAACCTTGGTGGTGATACAAAATTTATTCACTGTTGTATCATGCTCAATTTTTATTTCATGAAAAGATTTATGTTGAGATAGTAAAGGTTTACAGTGCATTTGGATGATATTGATGGTGTTTTGTTCTCCATCTAGCACAGAGAACAAAATGTCATCAAGATTTATATTGAATATATAGATCTTTAAGCAATCTAAACTACAGTTGTTTTGCTTTTGAGATTAAATTCTATGATTTGCCAGGAAAATGTATTGCGTAATTAACTAAAAAGATTTGATAACTTCTATAAATTCTATTGTATATACTGTTCAATTCATATATATATTTGAAAACTAGACCTTTGTTATTTCATAACTGATTAATTAATAAAAGAGTAAAGATATAGATAATAATTCATTTACTAATCGCTATATTAAACAATCCGTTATTCTCTTTCTCACACAGTTACTCTCTTTTTATCTAATATGTTTTTTAAAGTAAATAAAAGTAAAAAAAATTATTCAATTTAGTATTGTACCCCCCATTTTGATTTTACTTATTTATTAGTTTGATTGAATTTCTATTGTTAAATATTTGAAAATAAATAGCCAATTAACTGGTATACAGGAAATGGATTATTGAAATATAAAAAGAGTACAAATATAATGCTTCTGTATAAAAAATAACTACCAGGAAATTATGAAGTATGGTAACTATAGTGACCGACGGAGGAATAACAGATAATGCTTTATTTATATTTAGTTTTTAATAGAAAATGAAAAAAGCATATAATAGGAGGTAAGACACCTTAATCATTTTTAGATGGTGGTTGGAGGTAGTCAACAGGAAACCGTGGAACCGGGTTTCGTGCTACTTGGCACTCGTCAGCAAGGTGTACCTGTAATCTTAAGGGAACTGGTGCTCCCTGGCGGATTCGATCTTGCGTCATCCAGTTTCATAGCCAGGGAGCACCAGTTCCCTCAAGATTACAGATACACCTTGCTGACGAGTGCCAAGTAGCACGAAACCCGGGTCCAGGGTTTCCTGTTGACTATCTTCAACCACTATCCAAAATCTCAATACATAGTGCCCACAGTGTCGAATCACGTAGACTGGTGGCCACATTGCAACATGATCGATAGCATTCGATTTGCACTAATAAGGGCTAGACAAGCATGACATTGATCACCATCCAGTGATCAATCAATTGTGATTACACCTGAATCATACATTCCACACAATTACCTGGTTACATCAAGTTATATTAAATACAGTTTAAAATCATTCGATTATTAATCTAAGTATAACTAATTCACGTGTGAGGAATTTAAGTATCAAAATCAAGAAGCAATGAATGGTCAGTTTAGTACTTGACAGTATTTTAGAAATTTCATGCAATTGGTTCCCTTTATGAATTTAAACAGAGCAATAACAAACATAGTATGAATTCATATTATTTCGAGGTTTCTCGTCAGCTGCTTACAAACCAATATTGTGATAGAATTTTTTACATGGAGATAGTGTGAAACAATTGACATAAATGTGTGTAAATCACTGGATTACAATTATAACTATATATATATATATATATATATATATATATATATATATATATATATATATATATATATATATATATATATATATATATATATATATATATAGTTTCTACAGATTTGTCATATGAAAAGGGGATTTTTCTTTCATTCAACATGTTATATCTTATAAAAGTCCTTATTCATAGTATGATTCAGCATATGGAATAGATATCTTATAATCCTAATTGATAAAAGATTATATTAATTTATTAGAATATTCTAGTGCTATTACATGGTTAGTCAGTTATAAAATAGTAGTAGATTTATTTATTTATACAATTAATCTGTTTTAACAATGATAACAGTTTCATTCTAACTTACCAGAAAGTTAGTTATATTATCATAAAACGAAGTTTACATAATCGTTGTATCAGTAATGTTACCTGTTAATATGAATGTGTCGATTAAACTTGCAAACTTGAGTAACTATAACTTTTTGTATCAGGCTGTATGAAAATCTAACCGAATAAACTTTGACTCATCATACCGATTGATAAACTAAACATTCTATATTATTTCATACAGGGAATTGTAATTCTTGACTAGAAAGAAATGAATAATAACAGAAATTGAGAAAAGCAAATGAAATCTATACTTGTAATTTATGGATACTTACTTTTCTTAATATTTCAGTATTAGCAACAGAAAAAAATTATCAGAAGGGGTTTGTGGAGATTTTAGAAATTTCACAGATTGAAATCACGAGTCAATTGAAACTAGACCTTCATGGAAAACCTGAAAGAACTGGACGGCCGTTTCGTCCTAGTATGGGACTCCTCAGCAGTGCGCATCCACGATCCCGCGCCCAGCGAAATTTCAACCCAGGACCTATCAGTCTCACGCCAGTCGCTTAAACACTAAACCACTGAGTCGGGATCCAATGGTGTTAATGTCTAACTTTAACCAATCTACGAAGTTGCGCCACCGCACACCATTGTCTTCAGTGAGTTACTATCTCACAACAGACCTGGTTGACCTCCACTTGTGACGGCTTCAGTGGTCTAGTTGGTTACGCGCCAGGCGCGAGACTGATAGGTCCTTGGTTCGAATCTCACGAGGTGCGGGATCGTGGATGCGCACAGCTGAGGAGTCTCATACTGAAACAAAATGGTCCTCCAGTGCTTCCAAAAAAAAATTCACCACTGTGTAATAAACTAACGAAATGTAAATAAAATGAGACAAATTTATGAACATTTTGTCGCATTTTTCCTTATTTTCAAGATGAAAAAACTAAATAGTTGTTTACTGAATAACACAAAACAAACGATATAACTCATTATTTTCAAATTAATGTTATATTGTGAACGTTTTCTAAATCAATTTGTTGATCATCATTCCTTATATCTTATACAATTGTGTAGTTGTTTTATCTTAAGCAGGTTAGTTATGCTCTAATTTTTATTAAATCGAATAGAAATTATTTTCAGATAAATCAACTGAAATATGATTTCAAGTAGGTGAGAGCATAACTTTCATATCCCTTAATTACAGTGCCGATTAATAAAGATATTTAACTTTTAGTATGAGATTGTGGAAATTATTGAATTTCATTAAAATCATGATACAATCTACGTCAGACCACCATTGGAAGTCTTTGTCGTCCTAGTATAAGATACTTCAACTTAGTGCATCCATTATTCCGCAATGAAAATCAATACAGTCATGGTATCAAATAAGCAAATAGTAATAAATATAGGTTTGAAGCAGAAATTTTATCAAATGAATTCAAGATTTGGGAAACTATCTTTTACTGGTAAGGGTATTGCTACAGGAGAACTAAATACATTTGGCTGACTAAAACTTTTATATTGAATGTAATTAATTTCACTGTGTTTTTGGAATGCATTTATTTTACTCAGCTTCTGAACTTGTTTGTTTATATCATTATTTTCGCAAATTTTGAGAGTTTTTGTTCCGAGAACAAAATTGAAGGTGTGTTTTGTAGTTGTTATAATTATTGTTAGAACGATATTTAAATCTACTATTTGTAAATTGCGAATAAACTTTGGTACCCAAATTGGAGCTTGGTTCTATCGTTAATTAGGGTTCGTAAATTGCAAATATATAGATATACCGTACTTTAATAACGAAGAGAGCAGAATCTTGAACGTAACAGGTATAGCGTTATCATAGTACTTAAATATTTCAGTTAAAGTGAATCGTATCGAACATTTCGTTTTTCATTAGTTTATCAAAGCATACTTCAGTTATATAAATCCGTTATATCGGTGACTTTATTTTTGATAATAGTCATACATTTTAACCGTTAATACAATTACCAATGTTATCTCTTTTGCATCATTTTAGCTAATTGCAAGACAGGACAAATTAATAGTCACACAGTAATCAAATTCATCAATACTGAATTCGATTAATGAATGGTTTACTTTGAAAACTAAGTGAACGTTTACACGTCTGTTATTATTTTATAATACCATTTCGAATAATTTAAAACAATGATCATACTATCAATGAAAGGAAGCTACAATCATTTGTTGATGTTACTATCATTGACAATTTATGTGTCTAGGCAATCAACAGTCAGTTCAGGTAAGTCCTCAATAAATTATTAAAGTTTACTTTGTGGAAACGTGTTTAAAATGCAAATAATTTACTTTGGTAACTGTTCCTAAATAAAGAACTATTGAGAAATATAACTCATTCCTACAGTTGTTTATTTCATAGTTTTAGTTTTTTTTCATATTTTGCAAAGCTTATAATATTGTTTCATTATTGAGTCAAGCATTAAAAGATAATATTGTGCATTTTCAGTTAAAAATTTATGGAAAACGTTTTTTTGAAACTATCAGTTTTAATTTATCTTTATTTCATATGTGAATTATATTTGAAATATTCTTGGAATTCTTTGATTGTCAAAACCTCAAGATACAAGGGTGAATAAAATTCATATTAATAAACATTTTCATACATTGTAGATTGATGTAAGATATAGAACAAGTGAAAAGGCAAGAAAAATGGACAGCTCTTTCTATTTATTTCAAGTTCCACAACAGTTTATCTCTGCAACTTCACACTAGCTCAAACCCTGTTCTTATATGTAACACCGTGATTATGGTAACTTAAGATCACTGATTTGGAATTCGACGTTTCATAGCTGATTCGATTTGCTGAAAAAAACTTCAGGCTATAGTGATTTCACAAATCATTATTTTATTACAGCTTGTTTCTTAAGTTGATAACATAACTTCTCCAATTAATAAACAATGAAATTTCATATAGGAATTAACATTACTTGTTAAGTAAAGTATAACAAGTGAAAATTAACAACAACAAAAAGTGGACACTTTTTTAAATTCAATTTTTATGTTTACTTTATGTTGAGTGTTTCCTGATTTATCATTAGACAATTAGACTGAAGCATGTTATTTCTTTAAAGAGGAAGGAAAAATAACATTCAGTTTTGGATAAAACTACAAGCGTCTAGATAATTCATTGTATTATTCCAGGAAAAGCTTTTAAAATAAAGTTAGTAATGAATAATACAGACTAATCCTTATTGAAATATTACAATATGAATTTATCTAATCTTAAAGTTAGCCAGACATGTTAACATTGTCAGTAGTTTACAAAAGATCAACTTCAGTATTATAAAGAAGATAATAAGTAGTATTAACGATAAATAAATTGAAGTTAGATATTAACATCGTTGGATGCCGGCTCAGTGGTATAGTGGTTAGGCGCCCGCGTGCTAGACTGATAGGTCCTGAATTCGAACCCCGCAAGGCATGGTGGTGGATGAGCACTGCTGAGGGGTCCCAAAATACAGCGAAACGGCCGTCCAGTGCTTCCAGGTTTTTCATGGTGGTCTAGCTTCAGTTGACTCATGGTCTCAACTGTTTAAATTACCACAGTCTCCACAAAACCCCTTCTGATAAATAATTACTTAAAGACATACATACATGTATATATAATTCTGAACTTGCTTCTTAAACCATTTTATTAAGATATGAATGTAATCGAACTATAACCCTTGACTTCATCGAAATGTGAACAACACGAATACTTTAATCTTTATTCTTTGCTTCAAATTTTGAAGATACTTGTTGTATTTTATTACTTAACACCATGAAGAAACCAATAATCTTTCAGAGAGTTTAATTCTTATTCCCTTAATCTTTGTACTGAATTGAACGTATAGATTGATAACGAGATTGAAATCTATATGTGAATTAATCAAATGGATATGAACTTGAAGTAGGAGATCTTCAGTTATAGATATTGATAATTAAAATTCTCAGATAAGTCAAGGTGTTATAATCTGAGCATCTTGTTTAGTAGTATTTACTTCATAAATAAGCAAGGTATTCAATTTATATTAGTTGGAACAACAACATATACATGGATAATACTGATTATTAACCATAAAGAGTTATTACGTAGAAGTGAGGTTCAAAATTAGCAAACTATAGCTTTAAGTAATGTCGGAAGAATATACTTAATGTTGTTATAGGCAATACAAAAATAATGTTGATTTTCCTTGTGCAATTTTTGGTTGCATTGAACGTCAGAACCCATAATTTTATAACTAATGCTGAGGATGATAATAACACTTTTTTACTATGCAGTTACTTTTGATAATCTGAATAGACTTATTTACCACAGTTCATTTCTTATCAACGTCTGGTACCAATTACTTGAGATTACGTTTGACTGTTATATCGAAAGTTTAGAAACCACATTTATTATCACACTACTTTTACGTATTCTAATCAAAGAATCACCTTAGTAATATTCAAGTATTGCTTTACTCCAAGATGAGTTGAATTAATCGTAGTCGTAATTGTACTTGAAACTTATATTAACGTTACATATATACGGTGAATCATTTGAATATTCTGAATACATATATTTAGTTCATGTAATTGATTTTAAAATATTTAAGTGTTGCGTTTGAGTGTGACTATGCATAAAACACTTTTCTGATGCATTTGAGTGCAGGTAACAGTCACAATGACGAATGAGATATACTCTTATACCTTGGTATTCCTACAGATAAAATTAATTAACAACTCATTACTAAGTTTACAAGCAATGCAAAAATTAAATGAGCATTAAGGCGACCGGAACATTAATCTACCGATATAAATATTTATAAGTAGTATATGTACATAATCGTGATGTAACAGACCGATCAATTATACGATTATCAAGAAAATGAGGAATTATTCATTTTTGTGACTCACAAAATCTACAGTGTTTCACGTTATTCATCTGGGAAAGTGGTGCTTTATGAGACTTAATATTTTTCAGAACCCATCACTCAAAATTAATATTCTTTGGCAATAATTAATAGGCAAATTAATGAAATACTTGGTTACGAAAAATCCAACTTTATCGTATAAATGATAAAAATAGTTCCTGATTTATTGTTTCTATAGTAACTTCAATTTTTGAATTATTCTACCTTAATTATCTAATATATTCATACCATACATGTAACAGACTTCTATAAAATTGTATAAAACGTTCAATCTCTCTAAGCAATGAATACATTGACTAATGTTTTTAATTTTCTGATCTAAGATAATTTTTATCTCATACCCATTTTACGTCCATTTAAAACTTTTATCTAATAATACTTTATGTACGTTGCCTAAGTGACAATGTTATATCACTTGAATTGATTGCGATCAATAACTTTATTTATTCAACGTTTAGTTTCTTTTAAATCAAATCAATACCTTGTGTGAACTTGACTACAACCATGAAGAACTGTTGGAAATCCATAAAACAAAATGTATTTCAGTTAATTGGTTTCAATTATTATTCATGCTTTGTTCAGACGTACAAAGAGAACAAACAACACGAGACTTCTCATCTCATCTTTTGTACAGTTCACAATTACAAGTTTAAATAGATACGTGAAGTTATAAATGACAAATTAAGATTAAGTTTTTATGAGATTCATAAATCATCAGTTGGTTGTGTTATGCAAATATTCTTAAAGTTTGATCAATTTACTTGTATTTTGGCAACTTACTAATGTAATAGGAGCGAAGCATATGAATTCTTACTAACATACATAAGAAAGAAATATAATTTCAGCAACGACAAGTAGCATTTATCCAAACACATCTCCAGATGCAGTCAAAACTTAATAAGAATATACATATGAGGATCAGATTAAAAAATTATAAAAACTAACAAATTTGGAAGACGAAGTTGAAATTGTTACGATATTATGAGGCTTCTGTCCTTCAAGGAACAGGAAGGAAATTTTAATTATTACAACACAATTGAAAAATAATTTTAAACTGAAATTTATGTGAAGAAACATTTCATAAACGTTAACTGCTTTATAAAAGAATAACACTACTTTCAATGTTTACTCGATACAACATGAAAGCGCACGGTAGTATCGTGGTTTCAATAGGGTTGAACGAGGAATGCAGTCAGTTTCATTTTACTATACACGGTTGTCAGTATTTACCGTGTAATTCCAATTAAAACATTTTGGTATTTTTGTCTTATTCAATCACATTTAGCTAATATGTTTCAGAATTACTTCTAACGTATAAGAGGGGTTGAGCCATTAACTTTAAGTTTTTGTATTAAAAGAAGGCCTAAGTAACTCTACTTTTTTAGCACAGTCAGGTGATTTATAAGACGATGTCGACGTGTTTCATTTTTTTCGTATCTGATCTCCATTATTATTAAAATCGAACTTAGATTATTCATAAACTTTACGTTGTGTTACTACATAATTTATGATAGGTATCAGTTTTAATTGCTTATCTTCCAAGTTTCAGCATTATTGTCACACCTATCATCTTACTATTGTTAATAATTTCGTCTTCAATATTAATTATTCGTGTATATGGAATAACAATTTATGCGAATACTACCGCATTTCACGGTCAAACCTGAAGAGTAATTGGTCGAGAACAAAATATATTTTCTTAAATCTTGAAGAAACATCTCATAAAAATCTATTTAAATTTAACTTCTTGTATTATTGGTAATATAAGTAAAATGGTTATGGATAAAACTGGTGAATTGAAACTTCAAGTTTTTGTGTTATCATGATCCATACAAGCATCTTTTGTTTATCAGACTACTTAAGGTATCCAAATTTCGTAGTCTTCTGTTATATTATGATGAACTAATATAAAAGTACGATCTCAGGTTTTTGGTTTGTCGTTTGAAATCTTTTTAATTCATGTAGAATACAATGTAGTATTCACAATTGATTGATCACTGGGTGGTGATCAATGTCTTGCTTGTCTAGTCCTTATTAGTGCAGATCGCAATACATAGTGCCCGCAGTGTCGAGTCACCTAGACTGGTGGCCACATTGCAACATGATCGATAGCACTCGATCTGCACTAATAAGGACTAGACAAGCAAGACATTGATCACCACCCAGTGATCAATCAATTGTAATTACATCTCAGTCCTACAGGAGGTTAGTCACGGCTCGAATAGCTCAGTGGTAACGTCTCTGACTGTGAAGCTGTGTGACACGAGATCGAATCCGCCAGGGGCACCAGTTCCCTCAAGATTACGGGTACACCTTGCTGACGAGTGCC